CCCGGCGCTGCTGGCCCAAAACCATCGAGTTGCAGGAACCGAGGATGGATTGCGGGATCTCTTCGAACTGGCTCGTATTGGATATGAGGATCTGTTTATCTTGAGTGATGAGGATCAGGCTTATGTCGACGAGCGTGTGACTGCAATTCAAGCAAAAGCCAACGCTGAGGGTAGTCTCATGACGCATATACCCATCGTTGGGCTTCACGTTCGTCATGGTGATCAGCATCCACTCGAATTTCAATATCGCGATACCTATATCCCGGCTGATGTCTACCTTAAACAAGTCACCCGTTATGTGGACGAGTACTACAACATGACAGGAATGGAAGATAACACGCAACGCCGGCATATTACTCTCCTGGCTTCGGACGACCCCACAGTTCATGAGGAGCCTGAGTTTTCTCATACCATCCTTTCCCAAGATCGAATTCGTTTAGCTTCGAAGGGTGCGATTGCCCGCGCAAGTGGCAATCATCATTCACTAAATAACTTTGTTGAAAACACGTTTGGTTGGGAGGGAGGTTTCTTTGCTCCCCTTTTCTGGAATCTTGGTGTTGAAAGCAAGAATAATGCGGCTGAAGCACCAGCAGGAGTCAATGTCGATGGTGTGAATGAAGAAGCCAGACATATGGCACCGCCTTCTGAAGAAACGCTCCGACTCCGTAGTCTCGTCGGCCGAGCGTATATGATGGACCTGGCCGTTCTCTCGGAGTCGAGTGATAAGATTGTTTGCACCGTGAGTGCCTCAGGGTGCCGCCTGCTGGCCGTGATGATGGGATGGGAGGATAGCATGGAAAATGGGGGCTGGCATAACGTCGATGGAACGTATGGTTGGGCAGGGATCGACTGGTGAGCTAAAGACAAATTTTCACTCTTTCATTGAATGCTTTCTCTTGTGTGAAAAGTCTAAAGGGGCATAAGGATAACGGTAAGACGTACTTGATGTCACAAGCATAGGATGGTGTTGGCTGGCGTTGATTCTGGGTAGCAATGAGATACCAATTTTTCCTCTTTTACTCAATAAAAATGTATTGCAAAGATGGTGTTCAAGTGTGTTTGGGTTCTTTCTTCATCCTGGTGTATAAGATAATGTTTCACATCAGTGAGCAAGCAGACAATCGGGCATCTTGTGAGGTATGAAAGCATTACTAGCAGTTGGTTGAGCCATAGTCAATGTGGTATTTTTAGGGTCCAAATCCAGAATCAAATCATCGCTTGCCCAAATCTTGGGCTACACCTTAAACGCCGTCTACCTACCATAAACCCAGCTGCCTTTCCGGCAACTAATATACACCATGGACTGGTTTCTGCTCCCTCATCAGTCATCTGTCTCGATACCGATAGACGAGTTCTTGAGCTCAATCTCTGCCCTGAGCTGCTTGATGGTCTGCTCAATACGAGTCCGGAGGATCTTGTTTGTAGTACGGGCCAGTTCTTCTTGCTTGCTGGTAAGCTGGTTCTTCAGGTCGTTAATGAAAGACTTGACGCCCTTTTCTTCGTCGCGCTGGGCTCGAGCATCCTCGTCCAGATCCTCATCGTCGTCGTCGTCATCATCGTCATCCGAAACTTCCTCCGACTCATCCGACTCAATGCTATCTTGGAGGGGCCCAGGGGTATTGGCCTGCGTGGTTGTCATTGGCGTTGGAGCATCCATACCGGTAGCGGGAGTTTCATCGCCCATTTCCCCGAAAGCGGCCTCCAGATCGGCTGCAAGGTCATCGTCGCCATCTCCGAATACATCTTGGCTCTGGAAATAGTCCATACCATCATCATCCATATCGCCTTCGGCATCCTCGTCTCCGCCGTCCTCGTCCTCGTCTTTGCTCTCGTCGACCCATTCCCAGCGCGTAGAGCCGGCTTTAGCATCCTCGGCGAGCAGGCGTTCGACTTCTGCTTCTTTATCCTCAATCTCCTTTCGACTAATGGTCTTGGCAAATCGCCGGTTCACACAATCGTGCATCGGCGGCGTTAGGCCGTGTGGCCATTTGAAGTGTTGGTCGATCATGCTTGGTAGAGGTGTTTGTCTTGCTTCAGCTTCGTTGGAAACTTTCTGGTAAACCAAAAGCATTTGGCAGATGTCTGCAGACTTGAGAAATGATTTGCGATCCCATGTCTTCATCGCTTCTGTGACTGTAGGCAGGTCCACCATAACAGCAGCAAATGGTTGGCCTTTTACTGACACGACCGCCCTTCGAGAATCCTCTTCAAAGAATTTGAGTTGTATGTCTGCTCCTCCCTGGCTCCGAGGAACACCCATCCTGCCATTCTCCATGCACGAGCGCACATAGTCACAATGCTCTCCTGGTAGCATCCTCAGGACAAACTGTTCCTCTATCGATGGGTCCTTCTCCCGATCACTCGCCTCTGAGTCATAGCCATCTCCTGGCGGATGTACTGGTGCGCGTCCCTTTGGCTTCACCACGACCGTTGGAGTGAGCCCTGACTTCGTTGGCTTTAGTTTTATTTTTGTTGTTGGATGCGCCGAGCCTAGCTCATCATCTAGTTCGTCGTGTGCGCGCTTTTTGCTCTCGACGAGTTTCTGTGTGGGCTTGGGTTGTCGGCCAGCTTTCGTCTTCACTGGGGGTTGTTCCGCAGGCGTTGAGGGTTGCGATTTTCCGATCTTGAGCTTCACTTTGCGGCTACCTTCCGTCGGAGTTGGAGTCGGAGCAGCTGGCCCAGCCGGGACCGAGACTGAAGGCGTCGCATTCGCATCGGCGACGAAAGACGAAGACCGGCTAACGTTGAGCTTCAGTCGAGGTTTTGCGGGTGGTTGGCCATCCTTTGGTGTCGGTGTCGACATGCTGCAAATGGAGAGCTTAAGGTATTCACGATACTCAATCCAGGCGAGGATAAGCTATGGCATTCGATCCTTGTGACTCTGACGTAGGGGGGAGAAAGGGTACAGAACCTCACTGATTAAGTCGATGCTTGAGATGATGCGAAATGTCCTTTTATTAAAGTTGAGGTAGGGACGGTTGGGAAATTGAAATGGAGGAGCCGCGCAGAGCGCATCTACCTAGGTAGGTATAGACTAGGTCCACTTTTACCCGCTGGCCATATACTGTCAGACTGTATCAGGCACCTACCTCATTGTTGAAAATGGAAATCATGAGTACATAGTATGTTTTTTTTCCCTCTTGACAGTGATTCGCTAAGCTGCAGTCAAAATACACCAATGTTCTATTTGATCTGTCCATTCAAGCTTGCTTCAAAAATTGAAGGGTCCGTGTTTTATTGACCACAAGAACTTCTGTTGCTGAGTCTATCACATCTTGCCACGATGTATTGCGGCAAGTTTCCTCGAGACTTGGTTTCTTTGCTCTGCTAGTTCTTGTCTTTGTGTTGGATGCGCGCTCGCGAATCGCTTGAAGCAATAGCTTGGCAAGTACCGGGTCTCGTTGCCCTTGTTTCTTGAGGTAGCTAATGATGAACTGGTTCTCTCTCATTTTTGTGGTCTTGTGTTCGCGGTTCCAGCGCTTCGTCGAGTTGATTGCATCGTTAACGCGAGACTCTAGAGTCGACGAGCTCGGAGGGGCTTCGTCATAAGTTAGTGTTTGGAAATCTCAACGTCCTGGGCCAGATTGACTTACTCTGCTGATGGTGGGCACTTGAGGCGATATCCGTTTTTGCCTTTCGCATTGCTCGTGTTTCTATTCCAAGCAGAGATCGGCTTGTCGGAGGCTCATTGCCCCTGACACCTGCATGTCGCGAGGCGTTAATCATTCGACCTGATATCTCATCTATTTTCGTTCTTGCGTCCTCCAGTTGGTTGTTCCACTCCATCGCGGTATCACTCATGGCCTGCTGTAACCTCTCAATGTCCGCTCGTGTCGCAGGCTCACGGTTATGCTCAACGCGAGCCATGTAAGCCTTGACTGTTTGGATCTCAATCATCATCTTCGTCATTCTTTCTTCATTCTGGCGTCTGAATTCTTGATCATCAGCGGTGCGGAAAACGAGCTGCTGGACTTCTTTTTCGAGTCGACTGGCAAGCGAGAAGACAGTATGGAGGTTGAGTTCAAAATGCATACTCGCGAGCGCCTCTGCTTGTTTTAGGAGTTGGTTTTCTTCACATTTTGGACTGTTTGGGGTTGTTTGAGTAGACGAATATGCAACATCAGGGAAGGGTTTCGATACAGTGAACGCTGGAGCAAAGTTGGCCGAGGATTGACTCGAAGGGGGCGACAGAGGTGCACCAGTTCCCTTAGGAGCTGATCGGTGGCGGTTCTGGCTCATGTCGAAAGCAAAATAGGTTGCCTTTTTTTTTTTTTTTTTTTGAAGAGAAGCGAGACAGGTATCGATGAAGGATGCTCATCAGAATATAAATGGCCTGGTGGTGATAGAAGGGAAAAGAGGGCAGGAGACGTGACGCCTCCCTGGGATTCTAACTATTAGGTTGTTTGGCTTTCCCATCTACCTTACCTTCCCCAAGGCAGGTACCTACTTACCTAGGCGTAGAAAAATGCCCAATGCCTTAGTACCTAAGGTACCTAGTAGGTTAGTAGGTATTGAGTATTTCCTTCTAAGTAAAAGTGCTCCAAATTTATTATCGAAGAGTGAAGGAAGGAAGGAAGGGGCGAGCTTTGGAGAAGGTTCAGAGAAAGGTACAGGAGGCATGGAAGAGAAGCTTCTGAATCACGTACAACACGTATCTTACCTTGCCTGCTGAGGAATCTTAAAGATTCGCCCCAAGGTGCCTATACAGCTCGAAAGCTATCATCTTCGACTTCATCTGATAGGTAAGGTTAGTAAGTAATAGGATGTACTTAGCATCGCATTCTGTAAGGTAACGTTGAGGTGTGTTTGTGACAAATGGGACCCTGTAGCCCAGCGAAGCAATTACACATATTCGATCTTGACTCGAAGAATTTACAATTTGAGCATATGCAAATGCCGTACAATGATGAATAGCTCGTTTCCTGCTACAATAATGAATGCACTCGCGCGTGCAGGGCCAACAGCTGTATTACCCAAGCTCCTTCGCACCATGGCCTTCATTACTCAAGGTCACCAATAACTTCAGCATCTTTCCCCTTCAATCTCTCCTTACCAATCCAGTCCATGAATATACCGACATCCTTAGCTATCGCCCCAGAAAGACCTAGCTTCTGCGCCCACATAGGCACCAAGCCTTTCGCATCAGATGCTGTCCCCATCACCCATTCCAAGCTTCCATCGCCTAATTCTCTTACCCTCTCAACACTTGTGTAAGCCGCCCGAATTGGGCCATCGTGCTTGGACACGTTTGTTGCGTCGTCACCGGCCCGGATCGCGATTTGAACAACAAGGAACTCCTTGCGTCCACGAACAGCAGCTGTGGCTTGTAGGACAGGAAAGACACGCTTTGACAACGGCCCAGGAAGGTCATGGACAGACTCTTCATGACGCAGTGTCCAATCAACCCAAGTTTCGCCGTTCAGCTGAATCTCAATGCCTGAGCAATCCCATTCCTGTAGTCGCTTGAAGCTCACCACGCTTGGCGTAAAGGTCTTCTCCGCCTCACCATGCTTCTCCTTGAAACATCTCAGAAACTCATCCCAATCTGCCGTGCCCTTCTCTTTCTTTGCTTCGTGAGTACTCCGTCGAAGCGCCCAAAGCTCTGACTGCGCCTTATCAGGTGGTATCCCAAGCCCAGGGTTCTTCTGAGCGACAACCCCAAGAGTCTCAGCATCAACAGTACGCTCGAATACATGAACAGAAGCGGTAGATCCGTCGTATGTTTTGACTGTCTTGTGTTTCCAGAGATCACTTGTGGACTGGAGTTCAGTAGCAGGCTCCACGGAAGGGATCTCGGAAGGGACGGAGTTCAGAAAAGGCAAGGCTTCGAGAATAATTGAGGAGAGAAGAACCTTGAGCTCTCCTGGTTGTGCCCCTGCATCTGGAAGTTTAGAAGGGCGTATGCCCCATAGGCGGACAAGAGGGCCATATGACTCGTTCATGATGTCTGGATGAGGTGCTGGTCTCTGGCTTTGGTCGAGAGTTCTGATGTAAGTGGTATTGATAAACAGTTGCTTCCATGTAAACAGGTCGGATTTTCGTTATAAAAATAATTAAAGAGCAGAAACAGAGCTGATGATAATGCTGGTGAAAGACGTGTCGCCAGTCTCCTCGCAAAATAACAAAGCTACCTCTCAGACTCCTACTGGTATGAAAGCAGCACAGTCGTCATTGATGGCGCTCAGCTTGGTGGGGTCCAATTGCCAACTTCCGACTTGGTATGCCCCCATGAGATCGACTCACCTAGCCATCAGATCATCACAGTCAGGGGAAAGGATGCAGAAAACTGTATTGATTCATAATTTAATCGTTGCTAATTAAAAATTTATAGATTCTATCGCCAGATCTTTGCTGGCATGGCATGACCATTGACTTCTTTTTTGGAAAAACCAGCCCAGCCATTACAAAACACTCAACTCCCGAGCATGCCCATTGCGTTTGCCGCATATATACAACTTATTTCGTGTTGTCTCATCATTCTTTCGGGCCAAATCTACTGCTGGCGTCTTTCCCAGTGAATGTTGGCGGGCTCCAGGGGTCGCGAGAAAAGCGAGGCGTAGTCGGTGTCGATTAGAGTGTTGCCGCCATCCACATTACGGAACTTGAACTCACGCACAACCTCAGCAACAATTGTCTGAAGCTGGGCGTTAGCAAAGTGCTCGCCAATGCAGCGGTGGCGACCAGCACCAAAGGGCAGGTAAGGAGAGGCGGAACCCTTGCTGACAAGACCGTAGCCATAGTCGATCTTCTCTTCGTCATCGCCACGGGTAGCCATTCTAGGGAAGTTGGGAGAGTCGACCTCCCATCGGTGAGGATCCCACTCATCGGGGTTGGGGAAGTAGGCCGAGTCAGTAGCGCTGACACCAGGAGCGGCGAGAAGAGTGTGCGAGGTCGGGATGGTGTACTTGGTTCCAGGGACAGGCATGGGAGACTTGACGGCGCGCATGATAGAGTGGATAGGAGCGTGAAGGCGGAGAGTCTCCTTGATAATGGCCTGGTTGAGGGGCAGCTTGGCAAGGTCGTCGTAAGTCAAGGGAGGCAAATCAGCACCGAGTTCTCTGACCTGCTCTTGGTACAGCTCCTCCATGATGTGAGGGTACTGAGCGAGGCGGAGCATGATCCAAGAGCTGGTAGAAGAAGAAGAGTGCTGGCCAGCCATGAGGAGAGCAATCATCATGTGGGCGACCTCATGATCAGGGACAGGGGTGCCGTTCTTGTAAGTAGAGTTCATGAGATGCTTCATCATATCGTGCTCGGTGTCGTCGTTGTCCTTAGCACGTCGCTCCTTAATGGTGTCCATATAAATCTTGGCAACAGTGCGCTGAGCGTGGTCGCGCTTGCGGTTCCAGGGGAGAGGAGCCCAGTGAAGCATAAAGTTAATGGGAGTGAAACCCATATCGAGATCATGGTAGAGAGCGGCCAGAGACTCGTCAAACTTGTTACGAATGACGCTGCCCTGGAGGGCATGGGAGGCAGTGAAGATGGTGATCTCGGCCATTTTCTTGGGAATGTCGACAATACCGGACTTGCCCTTGAAATCGGGGCTCTTCTTGAAGTAATCGCGAACCTCTCCGGAGATAATTGGCACATATGATCGGAAGGCTTCGGTCGTGAGGGCGATTTTCATGAACTAGAGGCACTTCTATCAGCATGTTTGCTACACAAGGATCGGATTGTCGTCTCTAACCTTCTTCTGCTCCATGAGTTTGGCATTGGGGCAATCGTACACGACATCCTTGCCGAAGACAGGAGTAGTGAGAACCGTGTAAATCTCCTCGGCAGAGACATCCTTGAGCTTTCCGTTGAGGATGAAGTCGTTTCCAGTGGGGCCAACAGCGACAGTGGTTTTCTTTCCAAGGAGGATAAAGGTGAAGACATCGCCATGCTAGCGCATAGTCAGCGTTTGGTCATGCAGGTTTTCTGGCACCTTGTGCGTCCGTTCGAGATTCGTCTCCAATCCTGGATTTTTTGGGCTTGTTAAACGTACCTTGGCGCGGTTCTCCCTGAAGAACTTAGGGGGGTCCATTCCGTATGTGATAGTGCTTCCAACGAAGGGGAACCAGTGGAAGACCAGGGGTGGTTCATTGCGGTTCTTGAAGAGTACCTGGTTGAGTACATTGAGGACGACAGAGAGAACTATGAATGCTCCGAAGCCAATTCCAATCTGCTGGGCCAGAGGAAGCTCCTGATATTGTTGCGCGAGCGGGTGGCTCGCAAGTTCTTGGAGGAGACCCATGATTGGGTTTTGTAGGAGAATACTAGGGTTTTCGTTCCGTTTCGAAGGATGGAATCACTGAAAAGAAGTAAAGAAGAAGAAAGTATTATCCACGGCGCCAGGAAGCACAAGAATTCCCAATGGCGAGTCTGTAGAAAGTAGAGACTGACAGGAAAATGAAAGGGAATGATGGCGAAGGAGATTAACTGATATGTAATTGCGACAGACCCCGACGTCTTTTTTTCGGACCGGGGTGTCTTAGCAGGTAGAAGAGACCCCACACACCTGCCGAGCAAAAACAGCCAACAGCACGGTACACCGCCTGCGCTCTGTCGAGATTAAGCCCGTAGAATTGCCTCGCCCCCTGTGTGGTTCACAGTTTACAGCACTCCTGCTGCCCTGTAAAACGGAACCCGATGTGGACGGTTCCTGAAAATAATGGGGCGTCATGCCGTCCCGCCACGAAAGGGTGTGATATGATTGGTTCAGGGATGCGGATTCGTATTCGCATACACTTTGTGGTGCCAGATCTTGAGCCCCTCCATCCCTCCTTTTTCGCATTCTTATCTGCCCGCCAATAGAAGTATTTCTTTGTTTGCATTGATTGCTTACGTAGTGCCTAATATGTATGTACATTCTGTAGATGCCCCTAGGTTAGTACAACTGATCGCAGGCTGTGCCAAGGATAATGGATTTGACCAGAGGTCAGATCTAGTGAGTTTAAGTCCCCAATCTGTATTTTTATCCTCCTTTCGACAATAGAGCTTAAGGTAACAACGGTCAAACACCATTGTCACGTGAGGTTTCGATGTAGAAAATATTATTTTCTCCCTACTAGCTAGTGTTCATAATTCACCTCACCTTGCGGCCCTTACTTCTCTGCCCCTTGTTGAAAGACTGAACTCTTAAAATGGTCCGATGAGTTGGATCACGGAGTTTCTGATTGGCTTCATTGCTATGGTCCGAATAAGAACCTGACTCTTGATCAGCCGTGAACTAACCGGCTATTAATGTGACGATTCTCGAATCATTTTCAGGGTCCTCGATGAATAAGACCATATTGTTTATTGGTCAATGGCTTTTGACGTGTCCAGGATGATAAAATACGGATCAAGGGATTTATCAGTATTCACATGTTGACCTGCTACCTAATGGTTGATGGAATTCTTGCAACAGTAGAATACGATTCATTTTTTTGGAAGAGCTCACAAAGTACTGCATGTTTCATGACCTCAATTGGAAGTACAGATGACCATTGATTTAAAAAGGTTGCTCAATTCAAGGGCCACTTCTAAGACTGTTGTGATAGTAAACGTTTGTTTTACAAATTTCGAGACTACAATACCACCGGAAATGCTATCAAATATCCAGAAGCTACCCCTGAAGTCGCCGCAATTAACAATTAAAAAAACATATCATGTTTGTTCCCAGCCCCGGATCACCCCGATCACAGAAACCATCGCCTATGATGCCCCGCTTAAGATGGGCTGACGCTCGCGGGGCTCATCTTGTATGAAGACGTAAAACGCCGCCCGACTCCCTTCCGTATTCGCGAGACGGAACGGTCAAGAATAGTCCCAGTCACCGGGGGCCTATCCGTCCCGGCCGGCGCCGAACTGACGTTTACGACCCGGGCGAGGGCTGTGAGAAGGACCGGCATCTGAGGATAACAGCGGGTTTGAGGATCTTTTGGCATTTTTCTCTGTCGATAGTGTTACAGACCACACGGCATCCCCCGATGCCAGTTGCGAAACCACAAGTCTCATAAGTGTCAAAAAAATGCTCAATTCAGAAGACGTGAAATGACTGCCATGTCAGGGCATTGTCAGTACAATAGTGAACTATCAGTTTGATAGGGGTTGTTGCGCCTTAAAGGCCAACCTCGTCTGTCACTGAGCCTGTTCTTATCGCTGTAAGAGAAGTCCATGAGACGCCCGTACATATTTCTGTTATCGTGAACTAGTTGGACTGTCCACGAGGCCAACAAGACGGCGGGTTTGACCGACAAATTCTGACTATATGGTGGTCAACAATACTGTGCTGTATACAGTCGAGGCTCTTCCTGGGGAGTCCGACTTATGATTCAAAAGAGCATGTGTATAACTATTTTTTTTTATTCCTGTGCCCTAAACTATGAATCGTGAAAATCATGAGGGGAATATTACCGACGCCTGTAATCAGAGTATCAGAGTATCTACCAAGAGCAAACACAGACTCGCCAGGCAATAAAATATGTGAGTGAGTAAAAGGCATGCCAAATTCTTCATGTATCCCCATAAATGCACGCAAATTGCATCAATGCTCGAAATCCGCCTACATATAGTGAGCCGTCAGGTAACATAAACGTGGACGTTGTCTTGTTAGGTCCGCCGCGTTACCTATGTCGCAACTATAACCGTCAAGGCCGTCTTACAAACTCCAACTCCCAACAAATCTCGCAACCCTCGTGATATATCGTCTGGACTTATCATCGAAACGACAGAAGACACTTAGAGAATCATGTCTTCTAAGCAACGATGCTCTTTCCGACAGCACCCCATCGAAGTTTACGAAGTCCACTGCCCGAAGATCGAATTACTTCCTGACCGCAGGATGCTGTTTCGTTGACGCTTCCAACGCTGGCAGCCAGCGCCTCTTGCTTGCCGACCTCACGACCGATAACATAGCCAGCACCAAACCCCACCACAGATACAAGCACGACAACTCCGGCGCTGACAACCCATGTGA